TAAGCTGGATAACACTTGTACAGCATTTGGGATAACACTTGTACAGCATTTGGTGTATGTTTGATAGGACTAGGACAATTTTTTTTTTTTTGAAAAGTAAAATTTTTTAATTTTTTTTTTTACTTTTCTTCTCTCTCCATCTCTTTCTTCCTCTCTGCATCTCTTTTTTTCTTTTTGGGACGAACCTCTCTGCATCTCTTTCTTCTTCTTCCCCTCTACATCTCTTTCATCTTCTTCTTCTCCATTTTCTCTCCTCTTCTTCTTCTGTCTACTTCTCTTTTCTTTTCTTTTTTTTCAAAAATTTTGTCTCTTCTTCTCTGTTTTTTTTTTTCTAAAATTTTCTCTCCTCTTCTTCTCCAATTTCTTTCCTCTTCTTCTCCATTTTCTTTCCTCTTCTTCTCCATTTTCTTTCTTCTTCTCAGTTTTTTGCGAAAAATTTCTCTCATCTCTTCTTCTCCATTTTCTCTCCTCTTCTCTGTTTTGTTTTTCGAAAATCTTCTATTCTCTCCTCTTCCTCTTCTATTCTGTCTTCTCCTTCTTGGGTGGCTGTGGGTGGTGGCTGTAGGTGGCGGGTGGTCGTGTCTGGTGGTTGGGGATTGTGGTTGTGGCTGCCGCTTGGTGGGTCGTTGGTTGTGGGGCGATTGGGTGTGGTTGCTGGTTGGTTGCTTGGTCGGGACTGTTAGTCCCTCCTCTCCAGACGGGTTTAGCTATAGAACACCTAAGAATGTGTTTTTGGTGGGCCCATTATTAGTTAATCCCACTTAAAATTAGAACCGGGTGAAACAAACATGGGATAAAACTTTAGCCAATCCAGTCCAAGCTTGCACAGTGTACCAAACAAGCCCTCTTTGTCTTTTGTCCTTGGAAATTTAAAACCAAAAAGAAAAAGAGAACTTCACATTGGGTTTTGAGGTCAGAGGCTTGTTTCACTATATAGCCCATGGGTTTTGAGGTCAGCCTCTTTCTTGGGCTTTTAATTGGCCCACTAACTTTTTTTGGGCTAAGTCTAATTCAACTTTCAAGCATGTTACGTTTGGTGCTCATAAGCACGATCTTGTAATTCAAGTAGTTAAGAATCTTTAGTCCATATTTAGTGATTGAGATTAGATTAGATTATAGGTGTTGGCACTAAAAACTGGACATATGGAGATGAGTGCAACTTACAAGCGAGATGGACGATCGAGAGATCGATTGAACGTTGGATGCCGATTCTTCCTGTCCTTGGATGCCGATCTTGAATAGAAAGAAGTCGAGACTCGTAAGGTCTATGGAACCGGTGTGGAACCAGCCTAAGACCCTCCGATGCCGAAGTAAGTTTGTTGTTTTAAAAGCTCTTGTTGTTGACCATATAGAAGTATAAAAGTCAAGCTGAAAAGTCTTACCCCTGTATTGTAGTGGAGGGGCCTATTTATAGAGGGCATTTAGTATGCTCTTAGTGCTCATTTTCGATGTGGGACTCGTGGGAGGGCCTTCTGAGGTCGACACGAGTCTTAGATATTTTGGGCGGGTACTTCGAGGTTGATTCTCTACAATCGGTAGGGGATGCCGATTGTAGACGAGTTGGGCTCGTAATGGCTGTTCGCAGCTTTGAGACAATGCCATCGGTGGCCGATGCCGATTGTCCGAGGCCTTGGGTACTTGGGCGAGTTTATAAGATCCACGTGTCGTTGTACGAGTAGAGGGTCAGATATGGTACAAACAATAGGGTAGAATTGGATTGGAATGATAACACTAATCCAATTATGTGTTTGGTACTACACATGATTAAGGGGTTAGATGAATTGACATGTGCTATTATATGGCATAGTAGGATGAGATATAATCCAATCCAATTTCGTCCCAACATTTTGGTAGGATTCATAATCCTACTACATTTGGTCCTAGTAGAATTAGACATAATGAATCATACACATTTTGTGTATCCCCACACAAAATGTTCACAAGTGACAATGTTTGTGTATCTCAATAGCCTAGTCCCAAGTAGAGTCGCCATTTATGTTGGGGTCTTTTTCTGTCGAAAGGCTCGTCCGGTCTTGTTGATTCTTGGACCGCCATAGAGTGGTGAATCAAGCCTTCGTTGCCCCTTTTTATGAGTTAGCGAGAACTAGGCCCAAAGTATCCCGAGGGAGAAGCAAGTCCTAGGGGAGTACTTTGTTCTTCTTCCAGGGGTTACGTGTTTTGTGCTGATGTTTCCGGCAGCTAGACGAAGAGTTGGAGATGGTGCATTGATGTTGCACAGGCTTGGCATGAGAGTTTGCTTTGGTGAATCAAGATACTACTAGGCTTGGCATGAGAGGCTTGTGATGTGGGAGCTAAGAGAAAATGAGCATAAAGAAAGGATTAACGCTTGAGATTTTAGGTGTTTTCGGCAGCTAGACGAAGAGTTTGCAATGTCTATGGTTTCAACTTAGCTTGAGAGGATGAGTGTTTCAGATTTGGGATGGAACTTTGTTTTCGGCAGGTAGACAAAGAGCTTGCGATGTTTGCATTTTCTTACTAAAAAGGTAAGGACTATGGTTTCAGCTTAGCTTAAGAGGATGAGTGTTATTTGGGATGGAGCTTTTTGTGAGAGAGAGAGAGAGAGAGAGAGAGATAAAGGTTGGGTGGCTTGAGTAGATTTCCAACAGCTTGACGAATGATTGGTTGTGCTTTTGCATGGTTGAAGATGACTTGATGATGTTGAACCGAGATTGTGCGAGTTTGGCATGAGAGCTTGGAGTGTGGGAGCTAAAGACCCACAAGTTTAGCAAATGAGAATGCATGTGCTTGGCTTTGTGTGGATAGGCTTGAGTTTGGGTGTTGAGAACTTGTTGTTTGTGGCCATGGCTGTGGTGATTTAAGAGTTTCAAGGAAAGAATGATGGAAGGAAAAGCTTGAGGCTTGAAGGCTATGGTATTTATAGCTTGGAAGGGTATGAGGAGGAAGGAAAAGCTTGGAGTTATGCTTGGTGATGCTTTATAGGGAAGATGGAGGATTTTAAGGATGAGAAAGTAGAAGAAATGGTTGTGATAGCTGAGAAATGGCTGGGATGGCCATTGGAATGCTTGCAGCAGTCGAATGGAGGAAGGAAGGTGGTCTGATGGTTGTTGGGGTGCTTGAGTAACCAAGAGATGTTGGTCGATGGTTGCAGGGATGCTTGCCACAACCAAAGGATAGGGGTTGATGGCTCAGGAATGACTGTGATGACTGCTGGAATGCTTGCAGCAGCTAAAGAAATGTGAGTTCTCATGATTGTTGAGAGGCTTGCAACAACCAAGGAGGGTTGGTTTTGCCTGGGCAATACCTCCCAATTTATGCCAAAAGGATGGAGGTTGATGGCTCAGGAATGACTGTGATGACTGCTGGAATGCTTGCAGCAGCTAAAGAAAGGTGAGTTCTCATGTTTGTTAAGAGGCTTGCAACAATCAAGAAGGGTTGGTTTTGCCTGGGCAATGCCTCCCAATTTATAGAAAGTGAAGGCTCTCTGTGGTTTCCAATAGGTAAAAGGAAGTGTTTGAGCTAGTTTATTTCCAACGGGTAAAATGGAGCATTGGGACATTCTTATTTCCAGCAGATAAAGCTAGGCATTGGAAAATGACAATTTCCTATGGGTAAAATAAAGTGTTGGAATTGGCTTGTTTCTAGTGGGTAATATGGAGCATTGGAACACTTTTATTTCCATCAGGTAAAGCTAGGCATTGAAAAATGACTATTTCCTATGGGTAAAAGGAAGTGCTTGAAAAATATCTTATTTGCTCACCTACATTGGAGAACTCTAAGTAATGGGCATGGACTTTGATGCTCCTAAGTAGCTAGCCCAAAGTCTCCATTATCCAAGAATTTCTGTGGGCCTTGTGGACCTCCATAACCTTCCACATCACAATCCCTCTTGCAAGCCCTGTGAACCACATGACTTGGGTTCATGTGAGTTTGGCAGGTGATTGGCATAGGAAAAATGTTTTATTTGTTTGGCATGACATGTACACTATTTCTATATTTATTTAATGAATTAATTCCCCAAACAAAGTTTGGATTAATACATAACCAACATTATATATTATATTGGGTTTTAAATATCTTTGGGCTTCTCGTGATATTTTGGGCCTCAACACAAGCAGTAAGGAGCGTATAATTTAAATGATTAAGAGCGCTTATTGTATCCGCACAAAAAATGCGTTAATGCTGGAATGGTGTTATGGTACCCACCACCTAATGAAATGGCTGGTTGGTTATGGTGTCGTAGCTCACAGCTGTTGGTGCTGGACCAATAAAGTTGTAGGGCTATAGTCCATAATATATCAAGCCTCTCATGCGTGCATTAATGAGAAAAGGACTTGTCTCACAGTCACTGTATTAAGTGTCTTTGGTGGATCTTCATTGATAAAAGGAATTGTTCCAAATATTCTTTAGCTTGGTCTGCAAGCAATTATGCAGGCATGGGAGACCAATACAGTTCCAATTTCATCTCTTACCCAACTGTGGGGCTATAGAAAGGTCTTGGCTCTATTGTCATTACTAGTCTTTTTGTATTTTCTGTTGAAGATAAGATTGCTGTGGGTGCTATCTGAAGGAATGGTGTTGAATTATTTGTTGCTGTTGCCATACAACAAATCTGCATTGTTTTGTGCAGTGGATAGTGAATCTTCGTTGAAATGTGAAAACATGTACACAATTGGAGAGAGAGAGAGAGAGCACATCCCATTTCCATGGAGTTTATTCCTTTGATAAGCATTTTTAGCAAATCCAAACAAAAATGGAAAACAAAATGAACAACAAAAAGATCTGAAAAATCTCAGAATTACAAGCAATCCATACAAATATGTTTTCTCTGATTGGGGTCAGCACCCTTGAGTTACCTTGACCTTTTGCCTTTTCCTTTGTGTTGCACTCCCATCACAAGAACAATCTGTAAATTTAATTTCCTTACTTTTTTTTTAATATTCACAAGAGAACAAATTCTATGACTCATCCCGAAATCTTATGCTGTACCAAAAAAAAAAAAGACCACCCTTTTTCTTTTCTTGTTGGTCTCTCTTTTTGCAAGCTTGCTACTATTTTGCTGAAGAAGAGAGCGATTCCAGCATATAGTGAGGGCAGTTAACAGAATTTTGTAGTATTTCTGCAGCAGCCCCACTAAGAGTTGGGAACAAATGTCCCAACATACCCAAACCCAATGATATAGAAGGCCATTGCTTGGATGTAAAGGAAAAGGTAGAAGTAGTTTTTCCCAAAGGCAAAGTCATAAGTGCCACAGAAGAAGAGGTAACATCCAACAGCAAGCTCTAGCAAATGAATTCTGTTAACATGTGAAAACACAAATGGAAAACCGAAGTCAGGCATTATCAAACATCAAGGTCTTATTTTAGGGAGTAATACACAATTGAGTTCGCATAGGGAGTCCATGGGAGAATGCATACCTTTCTCCAATCCTGATTCGAGGTTTCCTGGGTAATTTTGCGGCTACTGTCAAAGTCTTAAGAGCATCTCCAAGTTTCTCAGTGACAATCCATTCATTAACTCGACTAGCCTCTAGCAGACCGATAATTGTAGCCTTCGTACGGTGTAGTGACATGACGTTCTCAAATAGGATCCAGAACACCAATAAGTGGAGTGACCTGCAAAATTGTAGAACAACATGAAAAAGAAGAATGGCGAGAGCAGGGGCACCAAATTACATGAATTTATTGCACAATACCAAAAGCAAGATTAAGAAGCTAGTACACAGAATTGAACAAAAGACAAATACAAACCAAAATGGGAAAAAGCAGAACTTGAAAGGAAATTAGACCTTGGAGTGCCAACTGCATTGAGAAGAGTAATGATGGAAGGAATATAAATTCCTCCCCACTTTGGCACCACAACTTCAGGAACCAAAACAGTTGCCGGTAAGACAATGCAGTAAAATACAAATGCGTTGATATGTGCTATGATCTTCCTGACGAAGAAGAAGCTGTAAATCACATGGATCTTCTTCCATAGTGATACTTTCTGCAGTAAACAGATGCAGATACGGTTAAGTTATTTACTCATTTCCACTTCACCTCCAACCATTGGCTAAATTTGATGTGAAGCACGAAAAAAGCAAACCTTGTTTCTTATAATTTCCATGACCATTTTCCTGAAAAGGTTAGCTGGACCACAAGACCATCTGTGCTGTTGGTAGCGGTAGGCCTTGAAAGTACTTGGCAATTCATTCTTCACCTGTAGAGAAAATGAAATAAGGATTATGTCTGGAATTGGAAAGGTTCTACACTAAACATTAGTAATTAAAACGGCTATCCAAATAGATTAGACTGATGTTGCACTCAAAAGTGCAGGCATAATCAAAAGCTGACGATGAAATATAACTTGCAGATGTTTTAGAAACAATCAGTTCATCATAACTTCATACCTTCAAAGGTCGACCGGATAAGACTCGGTAACTTATGTGAATAATCAAATTTGTGACCTCTGCACATAGTGCCTATATAGACTCAAAATACAACTAGATCATGCACACTAGGACACATTTTGTCTATAATTTCGTTTTCCTATCGGGACTGTTTTTGAGACACAATTGAATCAGTCAGCTAAATATTCACAAATACATAAATGCAGAAAAAGGCACAAGCATAGGTCAACAATGGTACCTTTATGCTACCAAGATATACAAATTTCCAGCCTTTGAGACTAGCTCGAACAGCCAGATCCATATCTTCCACTGTGGTTCTGTCCTTCCATCCTCCAGCCTCATTGATTGCAGCAATTCTCCATACACCAGCGGTTCCTATATCATCACACCAACAAAAGTTGGCATACAATCTCAAACCCATTTTAGCATATAATATACCAATTTTCTGTCATTTTATAACATAAAGACAACTAAAAGTACATATTTTTTTTCCATCCGTTGATATTGGTATAAGCTTTTGTTCAATATAAAATATTTTTTATGGCACAATAATTGCTGATAATTGGTAAATTACCATTGAATCCAAAGAAGGCATAAGTGGAGGAGCCCACTTCTTGCTCAACTGTGAAATGATAATCCAGTGACATTTCTTGCATTCTTGTCATCAAGCACTCATTTGAGTTCACTGCAAAAACGGCCCAGAAAAGCAAATGCCAAGTCAGGAAAAGTAGAAGCTGAAATCTGCATGACTTTTTTTATTGGTATAAATTACAATAATGATATAGCAGAGAATTAGTTCAATTGTCTGTCACTTTTAGCAGCGTAGGCGGTGGCTAGGGTATAGTGAACAGAGGTACACCATTAAGATGTCACATGCTGCTGCCGGGTTGAGAAAGAAAGAGAATCCCATGTAAGACGGATTTACCCCTTACAATATCTTGCAATTTCCAGGTCGAAGCAGAACCTCTTACTTGTGCTCCAAATCTAGCACTTCCTATCTGGGAAACACTAGGCACATGGCAACATTCTTAGCAAAAAGAAGAGCTGCACACTTGGCCCCCCAAAAATTGTGTTATGTTGTTTGTAACTTCTATCCTATCCAATTTTGTTTTTTTAACAAGGGAGATATTCTAAACTATTCTAATGTACGGAGAGGGGGTTCGAACTCAGGTGCAAGGGCCCAGGCAAAAACTAATATTACTTTTTTTGGTGAAAGTCAAGGTATCCCCCGCGCGATTGCGGGGACTAACCCTCGAGGTACTGTCGGGCGCAAAGCGGGGACCTCTCCCAACAAAGTCTGCTCTATTCGCACAAACTAATATTACTTTGCTAATGCACAAACTTACAAGTTTCATATTATATTTCAATGGCTATTTCAAGAGTCCATCCAATTCTTCGGCCACAAAAGTTGATGCTTTAATTATCATGAACGACCCTCTATTATAGTTGCTTACCATAAATGAACCATGTTACAAGTTAAGTATTTTAAATCTGTCATATCTAATCTGCCCCAAAATGTGTCAATTATTTTGATAACTTTAAAGCTTGGAGGTTATGTATGGGAAGGGCTATCCAGCTAAGAGCTCTACTCTTTTCCATTTGTGACCACTGATGGCAGAACCCACCAACAAACAATAAATCAATTCAAGCACAAATATATCAGACATCTTAAAACAGACAAGGGATGAAAATAACATCTGGGTTCTCTGGTCCTTTTGAAAACAGCACCAAATGCCATTGAATTTCACAATTGAATTTTCATGTGGGTTGGTTTTAGAATACGGGCCCCAAGCAAAGAAAGCAGACAGAAAGGTCACACACGTGGCAAAACCAGTGGCAGCCATGGCAATAGTAAAAGGCAGAAGGTGGGGCCCAGCTATTTCCTCGAAATCTTCTCAAACAAGCACAGAAGCACCGACAGTTTTTATATGGCAGTACTGTTTTTAGAATCCAACCAAAATAAAGTATACCAGATTAAATCACTAAACTAATTAAACCAGTGGACTTACCGAATTTCCAGCGAGTCTGAACGAGAGCAAGCTCAGGGTTGTGGACAAGGAAGGGAATGGTGCGCCAGAGAAAATCTGACTCGGGTTGGAAATCAGCGTCAAAGATGGCGACATAATCGCAGTGTTTAACGTAGTTGCGCTTCATGCCTTCTTTGAGAGCCCCAGCTTTGTACCCATTTCTGTTGTCTCTTATCTCGTACTTGATGTTTATGCCTTTGTTTGCCCATCTTTGGCACTCTAGCTCCACCATGTCCTGCAGTTTGATTACCATGCACAAAAATTAGCCCAAGCATAGAAAATTTTGAAAAGGGTAGTTAAAATTTTGGTGAAAGATTGAAGCTTTTTGGTTGTTTTTGAGTGTTGGGTTTTTGCTAGGAACCTTGACAGTTGAGTCTGTTGAATCATCAAGGACTTGAATGATGATCCTATCAGAAGGCCAAGATAGCCCACATGCAGCTCCTATTGAAAGCTGATAAACCTGCATTTTAATTATGAAACACAAATTTAATGCTATAATTTCACATAATTAACAGCTGATTAAGAATCAAAGAAGTTAAGAAAAAGATTATAAGAACCTCTCTTTCATTGTACATTGGGATTTGGACCAGAACCATGGGATAAGCTGAGTTTCCCAACTCAACATCATCTTTCATGGGCTCCCAATTGTACCTCTTATCTGGTTTTCGTCCAAAAAGCTTTATCAGAACAATGACAATGGCCATGTACAGCCTCTCAATGAAGAGCATAACCGACATGATCAAGCACAGCACAACTGTGATTCTTAGCAGAGGAACGATCAATGGGGCTTTGATCTTACTCCAAATCACTCCCATTTGCATGGAAAAGTCATCTCTGGCACCTAAAAATGTATCTGGTATAAAGGTCGCCGTTGAAAGCCGTTCCATTGTGGACTTTTTCTATGATTTCTTCTCAAGAAAACAGAGCCAGAAACAGAGGAGAGGCAAATGGGATAAAGCAAGCTATGAAAAAGTGGAAAGATTGCTTTTTTCTGGTTTCCAAGAGAAATCCAAGAGACCAAAATGGATTCAGAGGAGCTTTTTTTTCTGAAAAGAGCGCGAGTATTTTCTTTTCTGTGGATGATTTTGCAGGTCTGATACGCAAAAAACAATGGAGGAAGAGCTTAAGTCAGTGGCTCAACCTCCACCACATTTGAGAAAACAAATACAAACCCAGTTGAGATCTCAAGGCACCAACCAACCTCAAATGCACAGAAAATACAGCACCTGAAGATTTGTATAAAAAGCCTCACGAGAAGCTCCCTGTCTCTCTGCCTCCTTTTCCTAAAAATAGAACCTTTCTGCTTCTGAAAACAAGGAAACCAGAAGCAGAACAGCGCATAAATGTACAAAATGTGGCAACAGGAAAAACAGAAACAGAAAGATAAAATGAGAGATCTAGCAAAGAGAGAATCGGAGAGCTAGCTGTAATGGAAGCTCTCTTTGGGTTTTTTGAGGTGTTCTTGGCTTCTCTGTTTCTCTCTTCCTAATTTATAATGCTTTTTAGCTCTCTCTCCTCACAAATAAGCCTCTAGTCCCAACTGTTGTGATGTTGCGGCTTGTAAAAATTCGCAACCATAAAGGTTCAAGGGATAAAAAGTAAACCAAAAAAAAAGGTTGACGGATGAAAAAAGAGAAGAGGAAAATATGCAATGTGCCGGCGGTGAGATAACCGACAGCTGACGTCATATCACGGCCATGTGGCGCTATCAACTTTTACCAATTTTGTCACCCTAACATTTATAATCATTAGACTTGTGGAGAAATTATAAAATTTTGTAATTTTTTTTAAAAAAAAACCTTTTTTGAAGGGGGATGTTCCAACCATGTTTCCTATGTTTAGACTGGATAACAATTTTGTTTGAAATTAACCAATTTTAATTTAAGTGAGCTTAAATTGACGTACAATTAGAAGATTTGAGAGGTTCCTTCTCTCTCTCCTCTCTTCTGCCCTAGATTAAGGGGAGAGTGGAGCCACAAAATGCTCTTACGTAAAATAGAGAACAATTTAATGAGTTGGTCGATTTTGTTACTTGTGCTTAAATTCCCTATTTTGAGAAAGGGAATGAACTGTAGCACACTCTAGAGCTCACCTACTTTGTACATTGTACATTTTTCTAATCAACGGCTACAACTCAAAAAGGTGTAACCCCTTTATTGTTTACATTTTCTATCAAAGAAACAAAAGAAATATATGACATCTTCTTTTCTTTCTTTTTTTAATAAAATATTTGAATTATTATTAAGCGGTTTATAGCTCAAGTGGTTTTAAAAGTATTTGCTCATGCACTCGAAGTTTTGTGTTTGAATTTTTGCATATGTGTCAAACTGTGATTCACATAAAGAATGAGTATCTTCTTAGAGCATCCACAGTTGGAGGGTGTATAATGAGGTATATGTTAAATATACAGCCTTTGTGATCGGAATCACCCGCAATGGAGAGGTGTAAACGAGTGTAAATTTGCATCACCATCATGAGATGCAAATTTAGATGCACATGTACATCTTTTTTTATATCTCTTGCCAGTGGGACCTATATGAGAAAATGTGAGAAAAAGTGGACAAAATTGAGACCTATAGTAGAAAAAGTGAAATAAATCAATTATACATCTTACCAATTGGAGCAAAAATCACATTTACAATCCCCGGAAGTTTGAATGGGATGTAAAAGTGGCTTTACACCCCCGAAAATACACCCTTTCATTGCGAATGCTCTTACAAGGAAGGTGGCAAGCGGAATCCTAAAAGGAGGTTGTAAAATGGTATGCTAATGAGCTATTTAGGAAAGGGCAAATAGAAAGCGAAAAGAAGAGAAAGGAAGAAAGGAGGATGATGTGTCGTTGTAGTCGGTCCAAAAATCATGTAATGACAGGGAAAAGTATTGGTGTTGGTTTAGTCCATGTCTATGTCTATGGGACAGCTCAGATGGTTCTCGTGTGACTTGCTTTTTAGTGAGAAGTGAACAGAGCTGTAATATTGGGCAAACTAGGCATAGTCAGAGTGGGGTTTTCTAGTTGGGGGTCGTAGCTGTTATACGAATGCTCTCCAATGTCTAAATTGGTATTTTGTAGACCAAAATATCACTCGCAGCACCGACATCTATGATACACATGAAATTGTATATTTATATTGGCCATGATTGTCACGAGGAGGGAAATACGTTGGACAAAAAGTCTCATATATTGTAAATTTTATTTTTAGGTATGAAAATATTTATTTATATTTGACAGGGGTTGGTGGGCTTGGACGCCCCATAGGAAACATAGAAATGATGATATCCCATGTACCATTTCCATTGCCTAAAAAACTTGGTATATTGGTGTTGTGCACCTTGTTTGTTGTACTCATGAAGCTCTCAATCTCAATCCTTCAAAGTTCAAAACCTAAATGTGAAAGTCTCTACGTCTATGTTGATCTAGACACCCTAACCTATTCCACTCATCTCACACCCATTTTGAATATGACTCCTAATATTTAAAAACAAAGAAAGGAAAAAATTTTAAAAATTTATACACGGCGTCCGCACGATAGTAACGTCCGGATGTCTGCAAAAAAGAATTTATATATATATATATATGCGCGCTGAAAATGATTAGTTTATGTGGGTATTCATTCCTTTGGTATCATGTATCACGTGTACAATAAAAACATTTTCCAGAACATCCACCAGCAAAGTGTATGCAACCTGAAATTTTCTATATTTCTTTTGAGCATGAAATACAATGTGGCAATGAATCAACTCAAATAACTTCCTGAGCAATGTATATCACTACATAGAAAAGTATAACACATGTTTCACGGTTAATATAACATATATGCTCAACTGCTTTCTTTCAGTATTTCACCTATCGAGCATGTAACATTATAAAAATTATATTTTTAATTATTAAAATTATTTAATTATATTTTTAATTATTAAAATTATTTAATTATATTTTTAATTATTAAAATTATTTAATTATATTTTTAATTATTAAAATTATTTAATTATATTTTTAATTATTAAAATTATTTAATTATATTTTTAATTATTAAAATTATTTAATTATATTTTTAATTATTAAAATTATTTAATTATATTTTTAATTATTAAAATTATTTAATTATATTTTTAATTATTAAAATTATTTAATTATATTTTTAATTATTAAAATTATTTAATTATATTTTTAATTATTAAAATTATTTAATTATATTTTTAATTATTAAAATTATTTAATTATATTTTTAATTATTAAAATTATTTAATTATATTTTTAATTATTAAAATTATTTAATTATATTTTTAATTATTAAAATTATTTAGTTATTTTTTTAATTATTAAAATTATTTAATTATATTTTTATTTATATACAAAATTACAAAAACACCCCTGCCATGTCATCAGATTTAACAGAGTTTGAATGGAGTTGATGGCAGGGGGCAAAGTGGATCACCAAACCTCGGTCAAGGGATGAAAGTGGGTCATTTTAACTTTGGGGGGGGTAAAGTGAGATTTGACCCAAGTTTCATGGGGCACTACAGTAAATAAGCCTAAAAGATATTCCGTTGTTGGTAGTGCACTTAACCTTTTCTTTTTAAAGATACATATTCTCCATTTGTTTGGTTTGTGTTTGTTGTTTCTCTCTCTTTCACATTTTTCAACCACATTTGCAAAGGACCCACTAGTATAGTTGTTTGAGTAATTGCTCCCCAAATAAGGTCATGTGTTCGAGTTCTAACATCAGTGTAGTATGTGTAAGTTTAATATATTATCGCCCTTCTCATTAGGAAAGATCCTTAAAAAACAAAAAAACTCAACTACATTTTATTATTCATATATACATATATTGTAAATTTTATTTTTAGGTATGAAAATATTTATTTATATTTGACAGGGGTTGGTGGGCTTGGACGCCCCATAGGAAACATAGAAATGATGATATCCCATGTACCATTTCCATTGCCTAAAAAACTTGGTATATTGGTGTTGTGCACCTTGTTTGTTGTACTCATGAAGCTCTCAATCTCAATCCTTCAAAGTTCAAAACCTAAATGTGAAAGTCTCTACGTCTATGTTGATCTAGACACCCTAACCTATTCCACTCATCTCACACCCATTTTGAATATGACTCCTAATATTTAAAAACAAAGAAAGGAAAAAATTTTAAAAATTTAAAAATAAAACTTCATTGTGTGGGCATTTTTGGCTATAATATATGTATTTTTATTTTGGCTTATAGTTGAAATTTGCCACCATTAATCACAATAAAGAAAACTTGAGGGCAGTGTGTTCCACTAGAGATGTGGCAATCTTAACAATGTTTTATTCCTTCTTCATGGTCTTACTTACAATGATTATGAGATTACTTGTTTAGTATGAAACTAAGAAAAATGTTGAACTTTGAAAGCAACCAAAATGTATTACTTCACAAGCAAATAATTTCTTATCTCTTTTTCCTTTTCTTTCGCAATAAAAACTGCTTATCCAAGCTCATTCTTTGTCGAGAATTTCACTAATAAACACATTTTAGGATGACATAATATACAAAAACTCTTATAGAGTTTATTTAGATTGAAAAACCCAAAAGTAGTCATTTCTTATTTTCTAGTCGGTACTTATAATAAAATAAATTTTTTTTTTTTTTTTTGGCAAAAGTATCTTTGACTAGGCTTTTTCTTCTTTTATTTATTTCACAACTAACCTTATCACAAGAATTAAAAAGAAAGTCTCAATTAATAGTCCCCTATCTCTCCTTTTCTTCACCTAAAACTATTATGTTATTCAAAGCATATGCAATCTACAGTCAATGGCATTAACATTTTAATATAATTAATCAACTTAATTTTCAATTTTAGAATGATCTTCTTTCATATATCACAGCTAGAATGATATCCAGTAAGGCTTTTGCTATTTTTTGTATGTATAATTTTGAGATCTGCCCTTTGGATCCTTTTAATTACTTTTTTACATGCTTTATGGCTAATCATTCTAATTATCATTTCTAAGCCAGCTGAGAATCCAATTGCTGATGCATGCAAATCATTTCCGCCATAATATTATGAGACAGATGGGCGTATCCAAGTATACAGATATAGGTGATTTTGTTTATTAACTTACATCATGCATCTTAATAAGAATTCACTCAACTAATGATTCAAATTGATAATCCAATAGCATAACATGATAAATTATCGAGTAATAAGTATATTACTTGAACATTATGACGTGTTATGTTGACAAACGGGCTATATCATAATTTCATACAATCGACTAACAATAGAAAATTACTCATTTACACTAATGCATCCAATTCAACACGCAGTTAATTAACGTTTGAAACGAATACTTGTAAAACATAACTGTAAGTACATTTATAAAATACAAACAAGTATATATGCTATGGTCATGCGTCGGTAATCTTACAAACATAGAACACATGGAACCGACAATGGTTACCATTGGAAACGTTAGAACTTCCTTTTTTGCCAGCATGATAAGATGCATACAGAATTATCCTTTTAACCAAAGGCATGATTCGTTTTCATC